TCTCGGCTGGTATGTTTATGTATCTTTCAAGCTGTTGTCTCATTTATCTGTCTACATGCATTTGTTCAGTAGACATTGATGATTGCCGACGAATGTTCAGGCTGGCTTTATGTTTCCACAGACATCTTTACTGAAAGCAGTCGTTCTCTCTCTGCCTTTGCAGCCTTTGGATTATGAGAAGAAACCATCATACACGATAGAGATCCAGGTCCAGAACACCCAGGAATATGTTCGCTTCGTGTCCTCAGGCCCAAAAGACGTGGCTACGGTTCGGTTGGCAGTGGATGATGTGGATGAGCCGCCTGTGTTTAAAAAAGCCAGCTACCTGTATGAGGTGAAAGAAGATGTTGCGGTGGGCACAGTAGTGGGCTCAGTCAGCGCCATGGACCCCGACAGAGCTCGCAGCGTGGTCAAGTAAGGCAAAATGTCTTTTTCTACTCCAACCACACGAACTAAAAAAAGGAAATTATATGATGGCAGTTTTGAATTTCAGATTGTAAAGTCTCACTGGTCTCGAGAGCTAAACTCCAGCTTGTGTCTAACTTCTGCTCAGTCGTTTTTTTCTTGTGGGCTTTAATGTTTTAAGTTCATGAGTTGCTGAGTTTACCACACGCTATGTTTTGTGTTATAGACAAAGATGCTACTTAACGTCAGAGCCTTAGTACTTTTGTTCTCGTATTTAGACAGAAGTCATATATGATATCTATGATTGCAAAGCTCAGGCAGAGACGTCGGAACCATGAGAGGAAAAATGTATACTCCACAACATTTGAGAGAACCTTGGGGTTAGTATCAAGGATATTTGGCATGCAGACTGGAAGAGTCAGGAATTGAACCGCCAACCTTCCAATCAGCAGATGACCTGCTCTACCTCTTGAGCTACAGCCACCCCAGACCTAATGCAAGTCACATTTATGGTATAAATTAGCATAAAGTTTAGGTTTTGGATAAGAGTTTGAAACCTTGAAACCTGCTGTGATATTTAAAATTAAGGGAAAGAAGCTTGAAAATGCATGAACATTTCTCACAAAGATAATCAAATCATTCAATCAAAAGGTTTATTGTCATTTCGTATGTTATTTCAAAAAATACTCAGACTGAAACGAAATACTGTTTCTCACCAGCCTCTACAGTAATCAATATAATTTTTTTTAAAAGTCAATGATAAATCGCAGTGATAATAAGGATAAAAAACATCGATTCGTAATCTAAATTCTTAAACGATTCATGTCAGTCCCCTTCGAGGCCTTCCCCAAACTGCAGCTCAATTCATGTCCAAGCTTCACTTTTACCTACTAAAATGCTGTAAAACCTCAAATGAGGACGTGGGAGTGAATTTAGAGATCCCACTCCTCCCTTTCATTTACGCTGCACAGCTACCAGAACTTAAACACTTAAACAACCACCCGGAACGTTTTACAACGTTAGAAAGTTATCTTTTTGACACACACACAAAATACAACTGACTCCCATGATGCCTCCTGCAAGCAGTGGTCTACAGGAGGGCTCATGTTGCTCCTTCTGTAGGCTCCTGGCATTAAGACCCAGCTACCAGACATTCTCCCTCTCCAGCTTCCTCCTCCAGGGTGGGGTACACTGGTCCCTTGGTCTTATTTTATCTATAGGGTTTGGGTGGCAGCCAGTGCTGCCCGATTCCCATCTATCAATGCTGGGTAGTGTCTGAGTTCGAGAGATAATGGCTAGATATAGTCGGACACACCTCAACACATGGCTTGGTCTCTGGAACCAGACTCTGTTCCAGTATGAAGTTGCCCACAGTGAGAGGCGACAGACAAGAGTGGGCAAACCACAGTGTGTACAAACCGACAGCATGTTCGAACATAAAGATGCAAAAGAATACAGATCAATGATCACATTTATAATCGTATCATCAGATCTGGGGCCATGTGTTATGGACAGCTGAGTAAAGAGAGTGCCTGAGCTGTCAACTGATCACTGGTGGTGAGTTGGATCAGGTGAAGGGGGGAGATTCTGGACAGACCCGGCACACGCAAACATAAAGTGAGGCTGTGCTGGGAAAGTCTGGCAGGCCTTTGACAGCACCTGAGGGAGGCTGAATGGGGACTGTGCCTGTCATGGTGGTAATCCCCAAGCCAGACATCACAGGACAACAGATGGGAAGAGAGCCATCAAGCTGAAGGAGGAGTCATTGGGCTTGGTTAGCTTGTGGGACTTTGGAGGCAGCTGATAGGTACCTACAGGTCAAGTGGAACCCGACTTGGGCGTACCCGAAACAAAAACCCAGGTGTGGGAAGAGTTTAGTCAGACTGTGGAACAAGAATTTTAGATAGCCTGCTGGTGACTTCAGCTGAGGATATTGGGGGGGGGGAAGTCCGTGAGTTCCTGAAGGTTCTGGATGTTGTAGAACTGTCTGGGGTTCTCTGTCACAGCCATTACATGGAAATCTGGCCTCATTCAAGTGATGAACATTGCTGCATTACAAAAAAAAGGCGTCCTTACTGTTGTCCCTGTTTGTTTGTTAGTGTAAGATTATTTTTTGCTGATCATTATGTCTTTTAAACTCACATGAAGGCATTTTATCACAGTGTGGAATGTTCACTGTAAAGTTAGTCTGAAGAAGCATAATTGTTGTTGGTTTTGTTTGTTTTAAGATGGGTGTGTGTGTGTGTGTGTGTGGAGGGTGGGTTAGATGACCCAGTTAATATTTCTAAGTATAATGTGTCCAGCTTTGGAGAACACAAAGGTTAATTAAGGTTTTGTTTCTATGGCAACCAGTATTTGTTATCGTCAGAAGTTCACAGGCTGCCGGAGAAACGTTTAAGTAATGCAGCGTATAAACAGCACGCTCGGGCTACTGGTACAGCAGCATATTAACACTGCTGTGGGAGCAAAATAAGCTTTTGCAGCAGTTCAGGCACAGACTAATGCAATGTTTATTGTACCTTTAATTGCTTTAAGATTGTGAATTTCAGCACATCTCCACAGTGTGACACTGTTTACCTGCTTCCCTCCGTCACAGATTGATCCATTATGCTACTGCGCTGGCGTCTTGACAGGGCAGCACAGATAGGAGGAGGCTATCAGTCATCCCACCACCTGACTCAACGTTTTCTCACCTTCTCTCTGTCTCACTTGTTAGTTACTCCATCGACCGCCGCACTGACAGGGGCCACCTCTTCAACGTCTATCCAATGAATGGATCTGTGTTCCTGCTCAAACGCCTGGACAGAGAGACGACTGCATGGCATAACATTTCAGTTGTTGCCACAGAGCTGAGTAAGTCCAGTAGGGTCTGGGACTGTCTGCACTGCTCGTGTGATATTTTGATAAGAGTAAAACTGTTAGAGGAGAGGCAGGACAGTCTGCCATGGTTCAACAACAAGAATCAGACCCCGGAGTGTAGGACACTGAATGGGCTGATTGAAGGTAAAACCACAAAGTCTGCACATTTACAAATAAATGAACATGTTGCTCTCATTTTAATGGAGAGAGATTTTAATCTACCAAAGAGCCAGAAAAAACATATTACACATTACCAAACACTGAACGATGAATTGCATGTCATTAGGTGAAATAAATAGCAAGTATGACTTAGTACCTGGTGGAGAAGCCGCTGCTGAAAAGCACAGCGGTGACATATTTCATGTAGTTGGCCTGCACACATATCAGGAGGCGTTTTGGCTCACTGCACTTTACAGAAACTCTCTTAATACTTGATGTTGCTTGGCTGCTGCTTAGCATTTTCCATAAGATTGAGGTTTGGAGACTGGCCCTCCCATAACCTTAATGTCAGCCACTCATTTGTCTTGGTTCTGTATTTTGAGCCATTGTCTTCAGCTTTGTGGCTGAAGGAAGGAGGTTCTCATTGCAGGTTTTATGGTACCTGGGACCGTCCGTTGGTCCCTCTATCCTGTGGCATTAGTAGAAGAGCAACACAAGACTTATTCCTAA